AGACAAAAGCGGAGCTGGCCGCGCCGCGGGGAGCAGCCGCCCGGGTGGGATGCGCTGGGTCCCCTTGGTTCCTGGGGGCCCCCAGAGAGCTTCTTTCCAAAGCTGGGAAAGCAGACAAGTGCTGAGTTGAGCCTGTGCAGCCTCCTCAACTTGCCTTTGTTGTTCTTTGGTGTTGGCAGACGCTCTGACGAGGATGAGTGTGTGATCCTGCACATTGGCCCGGTTGGCTACAGTGGAGCTAATCTAATTTTGCTTTCCGTTTTTCTAAGCTGCTCTGCCGAGTATGGGGTTTTTCCAGAATCTAACTTATTACATAATATTTTAAAGAATAGTTGTGCGTAATTCTAAAATTAAACAATAACGAAGCTTCAAACGTGTTGCATCGAGGTGCGTTTCTGTACAGTGGTGTTTCTTCGTTAATTGCTGACTTATTCGTAGCACCGGTGTGCTCTTTGAACATGGTACTTTAATGTGTAGTTGTGGCAATGAGGGCTTTGGATTCTCCAGTCCTTTGCGAGTCAGGGATGCAGGAGGGTGAGAAGCGAAGAACAGTCGCCTGCTGCCATGTGCCTGTATGCACCATATTCAGGTACCACGAGATAGTATCAATTTTGGCCCTAGGAATTATCAGTATTACTGTTATTTGTGTCATTTACTGAGCTCTTGGCCCATTTCCTCGCGGAGAAAGGGAGAAGAGTAACACTTGATGCAGAGACCATGGAGCTAAGGGAAGTAACACCACGCCCCAGATAACTGAATATTATTTTTATTGTACACTCGGCAAGAAAGATTTAACTTTTGATGAGCTGTTTGCTTATTCATCAATTGCCACATTGTCTAATTGTACCTTCGTAGCAGTTAACACAAATCTTTTTATAATTGTTTTCTATGGGCTCACATGTAGCCCTGGTTTAGACTTTTCTTTGTTTATGTTTTAATTAGCCATAGATTTTGATTGTTTAAACGAAGGCTAACTAAAGTCAGAACTCCTTTGAAGAGACTTTTTTGGTGGTGGAGGTGTCAAATATTGTATGTCCATGTTACAACTGGTGTGGCCAATAGGCTTTGGCAAAGTTTTCACCACAAATTTGTATTAGAACCGAAAAACTCAGATCTCCTAGGGTGTCAAGCTTTTGAGTAACTCACAGATTCAACTCTATGTGAGGGGAAAGTATCTTTTGGTACTTACAGAGAGCAAAACTCTGCAGCTTGGTGTGTTACACTTCAGTAAGTGCTGCGATGCCATCTCTCAAGTGTAGTTTAGATGATGGGAACTTACTTTTTATAGAGCAAGATTTCAGATCCTTAAAATAGTTTACATGAGTGGTGAGAACTGATTGGTCAGAAGAACATTAAGTTTATTGTTCAAATATGTTATATTTTGTTTGGTTTGGGATTTAGATTTTTTTTTTTTGCTTCAGTTTTTGTTGACTCTGTTTTCTTGAATGATGTCATAATTTAGAAGTTAGGTAAGATACTTTCTTGGGCCTGGGACTTTTGCTCCATTTATTAATCATCTTGTATTTCAAAACACTTTTAAAGTAAACAGCCCCCCCCCCGTTCCAGTACTAGGGGTTTAACCCAGGGCCTTTATACTAAATTACCTTGCCATACCTTTTTAAATTTTTAAAATTTTGAGACAACTCTCCGTAAATTATCCATGGTGGGCTTGAACTTGCTATCTTCCTGCCTCACCTTCCCAGGGTGCTAGGATTACAGGTGTGTACCATTGCACCCTGACTAAATAACTAATACTTTCTGTTTTATAGTGCTATTGGTAAATATTATAATTATTTAAGGGTAAGTATTAGTCCTAGAGCTAGTTTTAATAACTATCAATTGTGATAACTGCAAGTCTGGTTGTTAAATTGAATGGAAATAGTAAACAGTAAGTAAAACATGAATGTTCTATAGACAATTATTTAAAAGATTTCTTTGAAATAAGAGAAGTATCTATTAGAATATCTTAATAGAAACAAAAAGTGAAGAAAATCGATGATGCAGTTTTTGATTTGTAAAATATAATAATTATTATTTTTTTATTTGTTTGTCTTTTGAGTCAGGATCTTGCTGTGTGGTTGAGACTGGCTTTGAACTCACTATGTAGCCCAGGCTATCCTCAAACTCATGGTGAGTCTCCTGCCTCAGCCTCTCAAGTGCTGCAGTTACAGGCGTGCATTACCATGCCTGGCTTGTAAAATGTAATTTAAAAAGTGAAATAAGTTGTCTTTATTCAGTGCCAGGAGGGCATCATCCATAAAGAATATGTGTATGTGTTGGATTAACTCATCTCTAGAATTTAGTGTGTCAGCCTTCAGTAACTACTGCAATAAAATTTCTTAAATTCAGAGGGTGGGGACTGAAACACCATAATTTACTCATTGCTTTTAGCTTTCTTCTTTTGTTTTCCTACCCTCTTGATGCTCAAACCATTACTGCTACACCAAATGATTTGCTTTCCTAGATTCTAATGGCATGTGAGATCTTGCCTGTCCTCATGGGTCCCTGAAGATCTAGCGCAGATGTACTCAGATGGTGGCGTTTCTTCCATAACAGCTTTGTTAGCTTCTTGATCCCTGCCTGGAAGTCTCCTCACTTCTTGTTGTTCTTGTGGTATACATCACGTTCCTCTTTCGGTTTATTCTAGAGTCTTTACTCTCTTTTTTTTGGGGGGGGGTACTGGGGACCGAACTCGGGACCTTGTACTTGTGAGGCAGGCAGTAGAACCACTGAGCTAAATCCCTGGCCAGGACCTTGTACTTTTGAGGCAGGTGGCAGCACTACTGAGCTAAGTCCCTGGCTCTTGGACATTTACTCTTTAAATCCTGGAGGGCAAACATTGTCTTTGTAGAACACCTGTGGTGCCCACTGTTGCTTGCTAATGCTGTACTATACTAATTGTATACATAGTGAAATGGTGTATATGAAATAATAAAGAAATGAAAGGTGGGTTAATGGGATTTGAGCCTTGGGAGAGCTCTGAGTTCCTGTAATCTAACATTACTTTTACTTTATGTGTGCTGCATTCTGATCATCAGCCTCAAACTATAGGCGTACCTCTCTATTCCTGCACGGGTTGGTTATCAGAAAAATTTTAGACTGCCAACATCTGGCCCAGATGCTTTTACCTGTTGACATTAGTTATTTCCCCTGCAGCAACATGAATTAAGTCTGTTTCTTCTCCACATAATACCCTTTCGTGTTTTCCAGGACAGACATCAGGCCATCTCTAGATTTATCAGTTAGACTACTTATTAAACCAATTTGTGTTAGCCACCAAGCACCAGGAGGTACAGCTGAAAGCACATTCGCAGTTCCTGCATTTCAGGGGCTCACTATCTAGAAGGGGAGGCAACTATAGCATGAACTGATGCCAGCTATATTGGAAGTAGGCAGATAGCCCAAGATGCTTTGTATCCTGCTGGTTTATTTATTTTTGGTGCTGGAGATGGAGCTCAGGGCCTGACCCCCTACTAAGTGTGCCCCACCAGTGAGCTGTACCCCTGAGCCCCTTCATGGCTAATGGAAACTCACCATGCTTTCTTTAGGCAACTCTGTTTTTAAAGTGTTTTAAAATTCAAAATATAAAGTAAAACAAAAGATTTTGATAGGACCTGACCAGAGTATGCAGCTGTTTTCTTAGGGCACTATATTAATAATTTTCAAACTTTGTTGTGTGTTCTGGCTCTGCCACAAGCTAGTCATGTGACTTTGAGCTAATTAAACAACTTATTTGTATTCTAATGTTTTCACATTAAAAAACAAAGGAAAGGGGAGGGCATTGTTAATAGCATGTACTGTATGGTTTTAAGAATTAAATGACAGAACAGGTTAAAGTGCTGAGAACAATGACTGGCAGATATTAAATGCCATAGTTAGAGTTAATATTGATAAAAATGTAGTAGTTACAGAAATCAAGTCACCAGGATAACTTTGGGAACTTATTAGATTATTTACTCTCTTCCATTTAGAGATTTTGACCAGTTAAACCTGCATGGGACCTAGGCAGCTTCAGTTTTAACCCCTTGATGGTTCTTAAATACCTCAAAGGTTGAGAACTCTACACTCTATATTTATGCTATCAGTGATTGAATTAGCTTTTACAGATTTAAAGACTTATTAGACCCTCCTCAAAGACTTGAATGACGCAGATAGTGGGAAAGACATGCCCTCCCCATCTCAGATCTCTCTGTGGAAACATCTATTTATCAGTTTGGAATGTATCTTAAATACTGTGGAGATAAAAATGTGTGTCTTCATAAAAGAAACAGGTAGATTAAAAATACTTTTTTAAAAATTAGAGTCCTCTTGTCCCCTTCCAAAACTTGTGAGGTGGGTGGCAAAGGTCATGTTACTGTCTTGTCAGTTTGCCGATGAGGGACCATGGCCTGGG